ACATCGGAGCATTTGCAGGGGTTTGAAGGGGATGCGCACACCGACACTGTAATCCCGAAGATGGGAACTTGGACACCCATGAACGTCAAACAGCAGAGTGTCTTCTTGGAGCGGCATAAGTTGACGACATTTTCGTTTAACTGGAATATGTACTTTCAGGAGTCGCTCGCTCACCAGATCTGCGATCTCATCAACATCACGTGGGTGACCTGGCTCGTCTCCTTCTTGCTCCTGCTCCCCATGGTGTTCTACAAGATCTTACAGACGCAGCCAAGACTCCAGCATACATCAACGGCTTCCTCTTCACGACGTTTTTTTTTTGCTTCCTCACTTTGGCCACTGTGGTTAAGATCAGGCTTCTCCGTGGAAAGCTGTACGTAGCCGTGAACCGGTACCTAAAAACGCATCGCCCAGATGAAATGGACGAGGACAGCGAAGACGAAGACAGCGATGCCGATGATTTGGATGACGTTGAGGAGCCCTTGCAATGGTGGAGTGACTTCATGGCATGGCTCATGCAGTTTGAGTCTCTGAGCGTGTGCTTCCTCTTGGGTATGTACGTCATGCACCTCACGTACAACCTGAAAGTATACAAAGACGAACTGAGCTATGATGTGTGGTGGTACCATCTCGGCTTCCTGGTCCCGCTTCTGTTCTCGCTGCTTGTCTTGTTCCCCTTGGGCTTGGTGGAGCTGACGACTGTCCAGGCTTTCTCCGCGCCCGACCAGGAGGTGCTCCACACAATCGTCTCCGAGGTCCGGCAGGCTCACACAGACCTCGTCTTCATCCAGAACAAGGTCACGGGCTTGACGCAGGGCAAGGCGAAGGCACTGCTGCTCAATGCGAACGGTGGTGACGATACTGTGAAGAGGATGGACTTGATGAGCCTCTTAGTCTCGATCGACGTACACCTGACGAAGGAGCGCGCCCTGGGCGTCTTCGACCTCGTGGACCAGGAGCACGATGACACCGGTGTCACTCGTGGCAAGACCATGAAGCTGAAGGTGAAGAACTGCCTCGAAGACGCGATAGACACCCAGGTCCCTATCGACGATCTGCTGGACAGCGCCCGCAAGGCCAAGATGGACGGCAATTCAGGCAAGGAGGCGTGACTGGTACGTCCTCGCCGGGCGGTAGAGTTGCTACAGTGGTTTTGTCCCCTAGCCTGATAGGGTATACCATGAAATGCTCGCGGAATCAGAGCCCAATCAGAGACAAATCTTGTTCGGAGTGATATTTCGTTTGATTGGCCTTCGGCCCGAACCGTCACCGTGCCCAGGCCTCCTCTCCCCCTTCCTTCCAAGCTGCGGTGCCCCGCTGGATCGAGGCTGGCCAAGTCAGAGACGAGTCTTTACTCGGAGTGAGATTATGTTTCAAGCGGCCTTCGGCCCGAACCGCCACCGTGCCCAGGCCTCCTCTCCCCCTTCCTTCCAAGCTGCGGTGCCCCGCTGGATCAACGCTGGCTCGATTGGTGGCATTTGCAGCCTGGCTGTAATTGTTTGTGGTGGTGTTGGCACGTTGCCTACATTTTGTGGTCGGTTCCAGCCGTTCCATGCAGCGATTTGTTTTGTGCGCCGAGTGGAATACGTCCACCGCGCCCGCAACAGCTCGTCTGTTCCGTGGACTGCGCTGCGCAAGCAAAAAAAACACCGTGCTTGCCTCCACGGTGTCCTGGGTTTCTTGGGTTTCAATGGTTTTGCGATGGAAAGCATGACGTCCCCACACCAAAAATCAATGAACGCCCTGGGGTCTCAGGGTTGGGTTTCTTGTGGAAGGTTTCTTGTGGACTGGCCTCCACTGTACGTGCCCCTTCCCCCGGCTTGACGGGGAGGAGCTGACGCACCAGTCCTGGGCCCAGGACCATCGCGGGCCCAGACCCGGTGCAGGCGTACAGTCAAAAACCCTAGTAAGGACGCGCGACTTTGCTCAGGGTGCCCTTGCGCCCCTGACGCCCTCCGACCTCGGGGCAGCCGCTGCCCCGTGGGCCAGCGGGGGGCGGGGGGAATTCGAAGAGGGGGAGGAAGTGTTAAGTCGGGCCTGTCCCCCCACAAGGGGATTTTCCACGAAAAATCAAAGATATCCCAAAATAGCCAAAAGATAGTCCAAAAATAGTACCGTGAGTCGGTAGTATTAGTGAATAATCAGTAGTGAGTAGCGCGCAGGGAGTAGTCATTCGTGAGTAGTGATCGGCGAGTAGTGGGTAGTGGCCAGTGAGTAGTGATTAGTGGTTCGTGAGTGATGCGTAGTGAGTCGTCAGTACTGACTAGTGAGTAGTGAGTATTGGGTAGTGAGTGGTGTCTACTGGGTAGTGAGTAGTCGGTAGTGGGTCGTGGGTAGTCGGTAGTGAGTAGTGAGTATCGAGTAGGGGATAGACAGTAGCAAGTATTGAGTAGGGAGTGGTGAGTAGTGAGTAGTGAGTAGTGACAAGTGAGTGCGGAGCAGGGAGTGGGGTGTAGTGAATATAGAGTAGCAGGGACTGGGCAGTGAGTAGTGAGTAGCTAGTGAAGAGTAGTGGGGTAGTAAGTTGTGGATAGCGAGTTGTGGGTAGTGAGAATGGAGAGGATTGTAGAAACTAGAGAGAAGTGAGTAGTGGGTGTTGGGTAGAGGGTAGTGAGTAGAGAGTGGAGTGTTTTGAGTAGCGACTGGTGAGTGGTAGTAATTTGATGGTGAGTAGTGCGCAGTGAGTCGTGAGTAGTGGGTAGCGGGTAATGGGTAGTGGTAGTAGTGAGTAGCACGTAGAGAGTAGTGAGTAATGGGTAGTGGGTAGTGAGTAGCAGGAAGGAAGTAGTGAGTGAGGAATTGTGAGTAGTGAGTAGTTAGGAGCGAGTAGCGACAGTAGCGAGGAGTGAGTAGTGATTAGTGCGCAGTGGGTAGAGAGCAGTGAGTAGTGAGTAGTGAATGGGAAGCAGCGACTAGCGAGTAGCGAGCAGGGAGTAGCGAGTAGGGAGTACGAGTAGTGATTTGTGAGTAGCGAGTAGGGCGTTGTGGGCAGTGAGTATTGAGGAGGGAATAGTCAGGAGTCAGTAGTGAGTAGTATGGAAGGAGTAGTGCGTAGCGAGTAGGGAGTAGCGAGTAGTGAGTAGAGAATAGTCTGTATTGCGTAGTGGGTAGTGAGTAGGGAGTACTGAGTAGTGAGTAGTGAGTAGTGAGAAGCGAGAAGTGGGTATTGAGTAGTGGGTAGCGAGTAGGGAGTAGCGAGTGGAAATTAGTGATTAGTAAGTAGTGAGTCGTGCTTAGTGAGTAGTGAGCAGCGACTTGCGACTAGTGACTAGCGAGTAGTGAGCAGTGACTAGTGAGTCGTGCGTAGTGGGTAATGAATATCTCGTAGTGGTTAGCGAGTAGCGGATAGTTAGTTGATAGTGAGTAGTGGCTTGTGGGCAGTGCGTAGTGAGTAGTGAATTGTGAGTATTCAATAGGAAGTAGTGGTTAGTGGGTAGTGAGTAGTTCTTTGTGAGTAGTGGGCACTGGGTAGTGTTCAGTGAGTAGTGAGTATTGAGTATTGGGTAGTGAGTAGTGAGTTGGGAGTATTTAGTAGGGAGTGGGAAGTAATGGGTATTGAGTAGTGGGAGCGTAGAGGGTAGTGAGTAGCAGGTAGGAAATAGTGTGGTTTGGGTAGCCAGTACGGTGTAAGGAGTAGCGGCTAGTGAGTAGTGAGTACTGTGTAGGGAGTAGGGAATAGAGAGAGGCGAGTAGAAGATAGTGAGAAGTGAGTTGTGGGCAGTGAGTAGTGGGTAGTGAAGTGTGAGTACTGCCCCCGCCGCCGCGCTGCCCGCCGCCGCCGCCACCGTCGCCGCCGCCCCCGCTGCCAAATCGCCGCCGCCGCAGCCGCTGCCGCCGCAGTCGCTGCCGCCACCGCTGCCGCCGTCGCCGCCGCCCCCTCCGCCGCCACCGCCGCAGCCGCCGCAGCCGCTGCCCCCGCCGCAGCCGCCGCAGCCACCGCCGCCGCCAAGTGTACTCTGTATTGTTTTTTGATAGGGATGGTGGGGGGAGGCAGCCTCGGGTTCGTTGCGCATGCTCCGAATTTGGAGACGGAATGTGTTTTGTATTGTTTTTGTATAAAGTATGGGCGGGGGGCAAAGTGTGTCCCGTAGTGTTTTTTTATTTGGGATGGTGGATGGGGCCCTCATGGACCCAGGTTGGCTCCCAGTCGCCTGGGGGAGGGGGTGCATATTAATAGGGAACAATGATTTAGTGTTAGGGGTGGTAGGGGTCGGGTTCCGGAGACCAGGAGTGCCGTGGCGAAAGGAGGGGGGGGGGGTCGAATTTGGCGGCCAAAAGGGGGGAAGGGGGGTGGTCGGACCCCCCCTCTCTCCTTTTTTGAAAGGGGGGGGGAGTGGGGGGGGTCCCCGACGACGGACGAGGAAATGGGGGGGAGAGCGGGGGGGTCCTCGACAACGGATCGGGAAAGGAGGGTACGGGGGGTGTCCCCGACGACGGATTGGGGAAAGGAAAAGGGGGGGGGTCCCAACCCCCCCCCTGGGGACATCCAGCGGCGCGCTGTCGATAATCCTTTCCCCAAAGGGGAAGAGTGAAGAAGGAAGAGGAAATGTCCTAAACCACAGGCCAGAGGGCTGGTGGGACTTGTCCTCAGCCTCTTTTTCAGCCCTTTCGCTTTAATATATCGTGCCACTCCTCTTCGACAGCATGTTTGAAAATGTCTGCCTTGTGGTTCCACGCTTGCTTTACGGAGCTGCATCGCCACTTGGTTGTCAGTCACCAGCCCTCCTTTGTCCTCGTTTTGGCCCTCGTCGTCGTCTTGCTTGTCCTCGTCCCGTTCCGCTTCGTTGTTTCCTGATTATCTCCCCTCTATTGTCCCTCTACCTCTCCTCATCCTCCTCCTCGAGTGGCTTGGTTTTATCGACGTAGCCGCCAATATCAGGATCGTCTTCAGCTCTTTCAACCAGCTTGGCCATGTGGGTGATGGCCAAGAGCAGGCCTCAAACTAGAGAGCAGCAGAAGTGAGGCAAATTCTTCCACCGTGCATATGTTGCTGCAGCCAGGACCGCCTGAACAAGGAGTTTTCTGCTGCAGACATGGACTTCAGAGAGTACCTGGCCATACACGCCATGTGCCACCGGATGCTGGAGCCGAGGAGGACGAGGAGGCCGACGAGAAGGGAGGCGAGGAGAAGGAGGAGGATGACAAGGGCGAAGAGGAGCATGAGGGTGACGATTTCGAGAACGTTCCAGCCAGTACACGCCGTGAGTTGCCAGGCGCTGGAGCTGGAGCGGAGGAGGACGAGAAGAGGGGCGAGGCGAGGAGGATGACGAGGAGGAGGGCGAGACGGAGAGCGAGGCCGACGTAGTCCCAGGGGGGGCACTCGCACGTCGGAGTCGGTGGTGCCCCTCTGTCCCTCTGTCCCTAGCATCCAGGAGGCCCAGACTTGCCCGGCGATAGCCTCGGAGGACCCCCAAACGCTCGAGGAACCACTACCCCTCGGCGAGTACAGTGGGCGTGTGTACGACCCAGCGAGAACCTCTAAGGACCCACAAACGCTCGAGGAGCCACCACCCCTCGGCGAGCACAGTGTGTGTGTGTGTGTACGCGCATACGCCAGGGTGTGGCTCGCGGTCTGCGCCGTCGAGAGGCTCGGTGGGGGCACCGCGGTGCGCCAAAGGTTTGGGTGAGCCCCCGCCGGGGAGAGCGCGACCTGCACGTGTCAGGACCTCGTGCGCGCCCAGGTGCGGTTGTGTTGCCGTTATCTTCAGGAGTCTCTTGCAACGTAGCATTTTCAGTTGAGACCATTTCACCCTCATGAGTTGCCTTGATGTGTGATGGATCTGGGCTGAAATTGATGTGATACGCATCCAGTTCTTATAGCTTGCACTAGATCAGGGGTGGTGAGTGATGTGTTTCCACTTGCGGCTGAGCTCGCACGAAGCGATGGCAGGAAATGGGAACCATGCATCACCACTGCATACTGCTGGTACGTGATGAACATCGAATTAGCCACACTTCGACGTTTGTTATCGTTGTCATCGCTGCATTATTGTGGGCGTTGGCGTTCACGTGTGACCCTGTCTCGTGTATATGTAATATCCGTCTTGGTGTTATGGGTTGCATACATGTGTTTGGACAGCGTCGGAACCTTGAATGTGGTGGGTCAACTTGGATACTAGAGCTAACACCAGTGATGGTCATTGTGATCATTGGTAGCTTGTTAACCGGCTGATGCAGATGCTCGCTGACCAGGTTGAGACAGTTTGTGTGCTTGTCTATGGCGTTTGGTCAAAGATTTGATTCTGAACGATTACTGATGATGGGAGCCCTTTTTCACGATCACGCTCTGCCCTAATCTGTGAGGGAAACTTAATTAAACAGACTCTGCGCTTGTTCGCGTATGTATCCGCTTTGTTGTGACTTGTACGTGGTTTGCATTTGTTTTCGGCATGTATGATAGAGCTCGTTCCCGTGAGGCGATGACAGGCGGCGTCGGCGCATTGAGTGTGATGATCCGTTTTGGATACCAGAGCTAACACCAGTGATGGTCATTGTTAGCTTTTTAACGGTCTGATGCAGATGCTCGCCGACCGGATAGAAACAGATATGTGGACGTTTCTTGCGCCGTTTCGGTTTGAAATGGAGACGGAATCAAACAGACGTCAATGTTTGACACAGTTGCCACCGCTACATTATTGTTGGTATCGGCTTATACGTGCAACTATTGGCACAGCATGTTTTTCTTTGGCGTGTGTGTGTACATATATCTATACATATATCGGCGCACCGGGTCCGGGGGCCCGGGGCCGGGACCTCGACCACAAATGTGCGCCCCGGGGGGCCCGGAGGCTCGTCGGGGCTTGCCGGAGGCCTCCCCGGTCAGACAAGACGGCCACAGGAGCCCAAGAAACTTCCAAGAGGCCTCCAAGAGGGCTCCGAGATGCTGAAGATGGCCTCCAGACGTCCAAGGACGCTCCCAAAAGGCCCCAAGAAGCCTCCAACATGGGTCCCAAGAGGGCCCCTAGACGCAAAAGTTGGCCCATTCCCTTCGTAAAACGTACATTTTTCACAAAGTTGTCTTTTGGGCTTTCCGACGTTACAGGACGGCCCAAGAGGCGCCCAATACCGCCCCAAGACGGCCCAAGAAGCTTCCAAGAGGGCCCCAGGACAGCCCAAGAGGGCCCCAAGACGGCCCAAGAGGCGCCCAAGATGGCCCAAGAGGGCCCCAAGACGGGCCCAAGAGGGGGCCCAGAGGGGGACCACGAACCGCAAGCTCGAGCCTTCCGCCCCAAGAGGCCGCCAGGAGGCCCCCAGGAGGCCCCTCAAGAGGCCCCAGGAGACCCCAGACGTCCAAGGACGCCCCCAAGACGCCCCAAGAAGCCTCCAACATGCGTCCCAAGAGGGCCCCTAGACGCAAAAATTGGCCCATTCCCTTCGTAAAACGTACATTTTCAACAAAGTCGCTTTTGGGCTTTCCGACGTTACAGGACGGCCCAAGAGGCGCCCAAGACCGCCCCAAGACGGCCCAAGAAGCTTCCAAGAGGGCCCCAGGACAGCCCAAGAGGGCCCCAAGACGGCCCAAGAGGCGCCCAAGATGGCCCAAGAGGGCCCCAAGACGGGCCCAAGAGGGGGCCCAGAGGGGGACCACGAACCGCAAGCTCGAGCTTTCCGCCCCAAGAGGCCGCCAGGAGGCCCCAAGGAGGCCCCTCAAGAAGCCCCAGGAAACCCCAGACGTCCAAGGACGCCCCCAAGACGCCCCAAGAAGCCTCCAACATGCGTCCCAAGAGGGCCCCTAGACAACAATTTGCCCTTTCCTTCGTAAAACGTACATGTTTCACAAAGTCGCCTTTTGGGCTTTCCGACGTTACAGGACGGCCCAAGAGGCGCCCAAGACCGCCCCAAGACGGCCCAAGAAGCTTCCAAGAGGGCCCCAGGACAGCCCAAGAGGGCCCCAAGACGGCCCAAGAGGCGCCCAAGATGGCCCAAGAGGGCCCCAAGACGGGCCCAAGAGGGGGCCCAGAGGGGGACCACGAACCGCAAGCTCGAGCCTTCCGCCCCAAGAGGCCGCCAGGAGGCCCCAAGGAGGCCCCTCAAGAGGCCCCAGGAGACCCCCAAGAGGCCCAAAGGAGGCCCAAGGACAGCCCAAGAGGGCCCCAAGACGGCCCAAGAGGCGCCCAAGATGGCCCAAGAGGGCCCCAAGACGGGCCCAAGAGGGGGCCCAGAGGGGGACCACGAACCGCAAGCTCGAGCCTTCCGCCCCAAGAGGCCGCCAGGAGGCCCCCAGGAGGCCCCTCAAGAGGCCCCAGGAGACCCCAGACGTCCAAGGACGCCCCCACGACGCTTCGCGTCACCAATTTCTTCTCACAACGATTCCTGGGTCTGTGACTCGACAGAACCTAAGCGCGCGAAGCGCGCGCGAAGCGCGCGCGTGTTGGAGTCAATTCTCCCTCCAGGCTGCCCCCTCTTCATATACCACCACCACCCTTCTTCATATGCCCCGTTGGGAGATAACAATTGAATATACAACGCCACGAATCAACCTGATGGTTGCGCCTTGACGACCCTGAGTCGTGCCAGAACACCGTTCTCGCAACCTCAACACCGCGAATCAAAGTAGCTGTCGCGCCCTGGCAATCCTGAGTCGTTTCCAAAAACAGTTTCTGGTATGTTGACCATGGAAATCCGTGGAACTCTTGCAGCCGTGTAGAACGATCATGTGCGGCGCGAAGGCGAGACCCACATTTTGAACACCACACGCCCTACATCTGTAAAGCTCTCGCAATTGTTTGTAACGACTGTGCGCGGCGCTGCAGCAGGGGCCACATTTTGAAAAGGAACTGTTTTGAATCCGTGGATCCCTTGCACATGTTTCAGACGAATGTGCGCGGCGCTCAGGCGAGAGCCACATTTTGAAAAGGAGCCGCTTTCAATCCGTGAAGCTCTTGCAAACGTGTACGACGAATGTGCGCGGCGCTGAGGCGAGAGCCACATTTGAAAGCCACCCGCCTTACATCCGCGAAGCTCTCGCACTTGTTTCAGAGGAGTTTGCACGGCGCTAAGGCGAGAGAAGCATTGTGAAAACGACACGCCCTCAAGCCGTGAAGCTCTCGCAATTGTTGTAAGCCGAGTGCGTGCGGCGCCAGGGCGTGCCGCATTTGGAAGACCGCCCGTCCCCCATCTGTGCAACCGTTGTCAGTTCTCATGCCTCAGGATCATACACGATAAGGAAGTCTCAGGCGAAACGCCGGGTCTGCCCTTCCGACCGGCTCTGGGGTGCGACAGGGAGGGTTTATTCATAAGGAAAAGGAATGGAGGACGAACAGGCGGATGGGGAAGATGAGGAGGAGGAAGAGGAAGGGAGGAGGAGGGCGAGCAGAAAGGCCAGAGGCCTCTTGGATACCTCTCGGATTCGCTTCGGATGTCCTTCGAGAGCTTTTTGGAATTCTCTTGGGGCGTCTAGGGGGCTTGTTGGCGGTCTTCGGTCCTTCGGGCGAGCCTCTTGGGGCCTCTTGGGGGTCTCTTGGGGGTCTCTTGGAGACCTCTTGGGGGCCTCTTAGGACCTCCTGGGCGCCGCTTGGTGCTCTCTTGGTGCACTCCTGGAAGCCTTTGGAGCTACCTTGGGGCCACCTGGGAGCTCGACCAAAGAAGGGGGGGTACTCAATTAGCTTCCCCCGCCCCCCAGGAGGCCACAATGGGTCCAAAACCAGGGGTGAAATCAATGATTTTAGGCCTTCTCGCCGAGGCCATCTTGGACGCTCTAACCCCCCACGGCACACCCCGTCCAGGCCCAGGGGGAGTGGGCCCCCACCATGATTTTCGAAAACCAGTGAGCAATCGTGGCGAGGAGGCTATCTTGGTGTCTGGTGGGCCTGCGCACAGCAGGGAATATGCCAGCACCCCCGCGGTCCTTGTCAAACACCAATGGGCAGTGATGCGGGGTGGCCGCGCATGAGCCGCGAAGTGCACGTCGCATTGCTTTTTGAGAGGGATTGTGGCCTTGCGCACAGCAGGCAATATGAAGGCCCCCATGCTGTCCCCGTCAAAAAACAATGCAAAGTGCTCGCGGGGCCATCGAGCAAAACCCAAGAATTCGCCCCGAAATGTTCTTCGTATTGTTTTTGACAGGAATGGCCAGAGGGGTGTT